TGCCTTGTGAAGATCTGTGAGCTTGTAGATAAGAGTAGAGGATTTTGGCTTGCACGTCAAGAACTCAAGACTCCTTGTTGAAATTCAGGCCAGTAATACTAGTAGCTTGTTCTTTTCTACTTGTTCAATGTCTTCCACAGCCAAGTTTACTGCTCGTTGAAACTGAGCCCACTTTTAGCCACGTTTCAGTGTATTTAATATAAATGCAAGTAAGTGCAGTTGCTTTTTTGTTATGCTGTCCTTCCACTTTATTATGGATTGATCTGTTTTGTTTATGGGGAGCATAAAGCAAGTAAGATACTCTGATTTTACTTATAAGCATGTGGGTTTGTTGTATATATGAGCAGTATGGGTAGAAGTTTCTCAGCATAGCACAACAGCATTCTCAAACAGCTCTATTTCCTACAGCAGGCCGAGATTAAATTTATTCCTGTATTCTAGTCCCGTAATTACATTGGGAGAGCTACTGTATGGTATTTTAGTTATCTCTCGGCTTTCTGTCAGCTTAAGCAGTACTGCAACGCTTGGTTTATAAACTGTTTGTATGTTTTGAAGTATTTCTGATTTATCCCATTAAACTTTGGTCGAAGACAATACGCAGCTTTGCAGGCAACTTTCAGCCTTGCTGAGATGTAGCTCTTTGTGTAACAAGTCTTATTTTAGTTCAGCTTCTAATGGAAAAACAAACTAGAAACATGGAGACCTTTTCTGGTTTGATGCATCCTGTGCTCTGAAATATATCTTGTTCCATTACTGAGAGCAAGGGTTTTGTGGGTAGGACATGTGAGTCCAACTTTAAGACAGTTTTAGCAGATGTAGTTAAAAGTGCACATATAACAACCCCACCTAGGTGAGATACAGAACACTTTTAATGTATGTGGAGCAGAAGCAATTTTGTCAATGTGCAAAATCTTAATTTCCTTTCCTTGAGAGGCCTGATAGTCTCATTTTACAAAACCTGGGAATCAAGCTAATGCTCTGTTCTGTGACCAAGACTTGGACTTTTTATTTTTGCTCATAGTTCTCAATTTACTGTTAGCATTTTGAAATTATTTGCAAACACTTATGAATTAATGAAAGTAGAGGTTTTCATTCTTTATATTGAGACTTTTGATATACATGTATTTTTACTTTTTTATATAGAGTTGTAGAGAGTTTACTGAAAGATTATTTCCCATTTAATTGATTTTCAGATTTTCATCTCTAGAGCCCAATTTGACACTAAGTACAACCTTATAAGTAAGTAAATAGTAAGTAAACAATTTTGGTGTACCATGCTCTTTCAAATGCATTTTAAGATCTCAGCTATGAGGCGGTGATAATAGGTGGCTCAAAACTATTGCTACCAGTCTGGGTCAATTTCTGGATAACCTTGATAAGAGCTTAATGTGTAACTAGCCATAAATTTATTATATGTCATTCAGAGGGCAGACGAAATTGTAGCAGGTGAAATCATGATGCCAGGCCATCAGAAGTTAAAATATATGAGTTTAAAAAGAGAAGCTGAAATGTCTGCATTTTTCTGTATGCACTTAGTTGTTCTTAGAGAAGCGGATTGTGTTGAGGAGTATGCAGTGTTGTTTCTAGGTTTTGCAGGAACAGCCAAGTGTTTGCAAGCTGCAAACAGCAGGGCCACAGACAAGATGTGTGGGAGGTGGTTAACGATAATCATCTATTTAATTTTTTTTAAACTTTTTTTTTTGACCAGCACAGATGCTGTGCTGGAACTTAACTCATCCATTGCATCTGACAGGGGCTCAGTTAGCATTTTTGCTCCTTCTGTTAATAATGCTGTGACCTATGCTTAATCTCTTTCCTACTTTTGCTGCCTGTGTCTCCTGATCAAAGAGGTTTGTACTGGGCTAGTGCTGTTACAAACAGCAGGAAAGCTGGTGCTGGACTCAGTGCGTTTCTTTAACCCTGTTAAGGAATCAATCATCTTTTGAATGGTTCTGTTTCCTGATTTAGGAGCTGTTGAATGATCTCACTTAAATTTATGTGAGGCTGAAAAATCCCTGGTCTGAACTCAATCTGAATCAGTCTAAGTCATTTTATGTGCCAAATCCATGGCCCTTGATTCCTTTCTATTACTTCATTAAGCATATGGGTAGGCTGCCTGTCTTACAAAGCATGTTGGTTACCTTTTAATTTCCCTGAGAAAGCTTATCCTAGCTCTTTTTTTTCATATGTCATTGTGCTTTGGTTTTGGTAATTCTGATCAGGTTCGATTACACATTGTTTACTTTCAGACTTGGAAAGAGTTATTTTTGGATGGTGCTTGAGATTGAGGTTGCAGGATATGGAAGACCAAGTCCTCCTTGCTTTGTTTGTCGTCTCAGTTGCAGAAATTAAAGTGATGATTTCTGAGTTTGTCTCTCTGTGTAAGGGAGAGTTAAGCTTATGCTTGTGCTCTATATTAGCACGTGCATTTGGAGTTGTTTGTAATTAACAAATTAGTCTGAGGTGTGATCTTTATTGTAGAGATTGAGTAATTTATACATTGATTAAAAAACCCCAAAATGTTAAGGCTCAGGAGTTTAATTTACTGAACAGGATTAGAAAAAATGAGTGAGGTTTACTTAGCAAATGTTGCTGTGAATGTATAGAACTGATGACAGAAGGTCTTATTATCTGTGCTTGCAAGTAGCCAATAGATAAAACACACTCCATCTTCTTGCCGTGACAACACTGTTTTTGCCTGCCAGACTGTTCCATTCTACACAGGGGGAGAAATCTAATTAAAGGAAGAAAATTGAATTTGGAAAACACTTAGTATGCCATCTTGTTTTTTCCCTTACTAAATGCAGGATTAGTCGTGATTGCATGTCATGGTAATGCCTTATATAAATGAAAGAATTACTCTTTATTTCTCCAAGTGATCATTTGATTTAAGAATACTCTAGTAGCATAACATGACCCAGGTTGACTGCAGCATGGTGTTTCAGTCAGTCAAATATACACTGATTATTTAGGTATATCTATCTTAATAAAATTATAAGTAACGGAACAATGGATCTGGCCTGTTTCTTTTTGTCATTTTTACTATTTTTATCTTTTTCCTTTGTAGCTGTTAGAATCTGATTCTGAGAGGCATCTTGTCTCTGAATTTTTGCTGGATGAGGAATTTGGCTGTGTGGGAAGGGGGAGGGAAAAATAGCAAATGGGAAGACATACTCCACTTGAGTGCCAGAACTCATTGCAGGATCTGAAGTTGTTTTTTCCTTAATAACATTATTTAAAGACAGATCAGCTTTCAATTTATGGATTTCCATCAATAAAAGCATCACTAGAACAGAGACAGCACTGCTGCTAGGCTGTTGCAGTTGGTTGGCAGCATGATTAGCTCTAAAAGGAAAAATGTCATTATTGTGGCAGCAGGGGCTCGCAGGGTGCCTCTTGGGGATGGAGGAGCCAGGACAGAAAGCTGGTTACTGGATGGTGATTTCAGTAGGACAAGGAGAAGCAGAAGTAGCTGGAAATGGGAGAAACTGTGTTTAGCAAGCAGGTCGAAGTGGTGATTTTGTTCTGATGTGAGGACAGAGCCAGGGTGGAGTAGAGATGGCAGCAGTGATTCCCTGCTTGGGCAGGGGACTTGGACTAGATGATCTTGAGAGGCCCTTCCCATCTTCAGCAACTCTGAGATTTGCGTGGAGGAGTCTACAGATGGGTTTGAGCACACATGCAAGCTGCTTGCAGCCCTGCTCCTTTCCTGCTCTTGCATTCCCCAAACTGCTCTGCCCACCATTGAAATTTTCTTTCCTGGCTTTGCTGAGCTTTCTCTCTCCAGCTTCCAAGCTCAGTCCAGCAGAGATGCCATTGCCAGAGGGAGCAGTGAGAAGAAAACCACTGGGTGTAGGAACATCATTGGTTGCTTTGATCTACCACAGCACTTCATTCAAGTGTTTTCCTTCCTTTTTCCCCTTCTGAAAGTGTTTAACATCCCCTAGAATTTGTGTAGATATGTAGGCAAGGAGCAGCATGATGACACTTAACACTAAGAAAGCTTCTAATCTCAATTCTGATTTCAGCTACATTAATCTAGACTTTATTAGGATGCTTTCAGCCATTAGCTGGTCCTAGCTGAAGAATGAATGTAGATGTGAGAAGACTGTATTAGGATATTTAATTAAGAATTAATGTTTTAATATTGGAATTCACCCTTTGAAGCAGAGTGAGCTAGTGTTGAGTTGCAATCATTGTGTAAGAGGCTTTCTCTTCAGCTGTTTAGGCTTTAGCGTATAGGACCTGAGGCTGTAGCCCCGTGGCATGAGTTTGTCATTAAATGTTTTGTACTCAACAGATACCCTTGCAAAAAGGCAATCTGCTTTATGACAAAGGTTTGTATTTCCTATGTTTCCTAGACACAACAGCAGAAATAGTCGTAAGTGCATAGTTCTCCCTGTCTTCCAGTGTATGCGTCATTCACATCCAAACCAGAGACTTTAAGGCAAAAAGAGACTTTACTTAAGAGAAGATGGCCAGGAAAGGGTCCCATACAGGAGCTTGCTTCCTAGCTTGCTTTTTATGATTCCCTCCTGTGGGATGAACCCTGCAGACTATGCTTTCTAGTTTGAGGTGCTGGATTCTGCAAATTTTCGTGTGAACATGCCTTACTGCTGTGTTTATTTTTACCAATGCTGCTGTAGTTTCCCGAGTAAGCTGTAGTTGGGTAATTGCGGAAAAACACTGATTTGTCTAATGTCATGAAGTTTTTGCTACAGTATGCTGATTAAAACTGGAGAATATTGTTGAACTTGTGCTCATAGTAAAGTGTATATTAAGAAAAATGTCATAGGTATTTTTAGTTGCTTGTTCTCATTGCTGTAGACTAGCCTCTCCCATACTTTAATGATTGTCAAATGTCATTGAAAGCTCCAAAGATCCTCACTGTTACATTGCAGGGTTTGTTTAGAATGCTTAATGTCTCTCAGGAGCTTCTGAAATGTGGTATTTTTATTTTATGTTTTCCTTTGGTTTTAATTCTTAAATGATCCCTCTTTTCAGATTTCAAATTATAATCTATTTCCTGATGCATTGCTGACGCCCCGTGAGCCATGTCAGAAGTACTTCCAGGTCAGATGCCCTTTAAAAGATTCTGCTATGCAAATATGTGAAACTTTCCTCTTCTTTTCCTTCTTCTTCCCAGGCCCATATCTCACTTTCATTTTGCACTTATACATGAAAAAGAGCAAGCACTTTATTTTCTTTTTAACAGTGCCTTTTTTAATAAACTCTCTATTCGACTTTTAAAAAGTATTCCTATAGACAATACAATGCAAAAACGTCTTAGTAGAGGTAAAGACAAATAGGTCACACACTTTTCTGTTTGCAATGGCATTTTCTCTCTCCTCCTAGCTCTGTAAGGTTTATGACAAGATTGAAAAACATCAATAAAAGCCATTCAAGTAATAGCGTTATTTGTATTATTACGATGCTTAGAAAATTGGAACTACTTTGTGTTAAACACATTATGGTGGTGAAAGTATATTAATCTATATCTGTAAGTATGTTTCTAAACATTAGAATTATGCAGTTGAGAATTGTGATTTGTTTTAAAAAGTAAGCAAGCTAAAACCATTAATGAATTGCTATGACAGATCTTCTACCTACTAAGTGCTGACTTAAGCACCAACATTTTATGAATACGTTGTTATTCCCAGTAATATTAACATCCTAATTATTCTTAGTTTTTCACCAGAGTCCAATATTTTTTATTATAATACCCTATTTTTACTTATAACTTATCACTGTTCACCTCCTTTAGCTGAGGTATACGTATCAATTCAGTGATTCCTGGTCTGCTTGTTCATCTGTGTTTGCTTTTCAGCAGAAGGCAGAGGAGTTGAAAAAAAGGTGCCCTGTGCCAGTGGCCAGGCAGCACGGGGAGCTGCCCGAGCAGGGGGGGACAAGGTCTGCCTGCAGCAGGGTGCCTGGATGCAGGACACCTGACACAGGGTGTTGGTTAGCTGGCGAGGGGCATGGCACCAGTGTGCGTTAGGTACCCCAGCAGCGAGGGAGGCAGGGTCGGTGGGAGAGACAAAATAAAAGATATGGGAAGTCAGTGATTGGAATTTCAGTCTTGGAAATTAGAGGCACAGGAAGAAGTTGCATTTCCTTGAAGTTTTTAATTAGAAATTTGGGATGTGCTGCTTCTGGGAAAAGTGATGTGTTTCAAGTTCTCACTGCGTCCTGTATAGAAGAGGAGGGACAGGCTATCGCTCTTCTTCCTTATGCTGTTCTACTATGCAGTCTAGGGGGTTTTTTCAGTGCATTTAAGCATTTCCTTGCATTGAAATGTTTTCCAAGCACTTTAGTTACTCCTGGTCTGGTAGCAACTTCTGCCCTTGAGATGCAAGACCTGCGCCTTCCTATCTGTATTTTTTCTTCTCTTTTTGCCTGTTTGGTTGCTTCTCTTTTTCCCCACCTTTATATCTGTTTCTGTGAGTGGAGGAATGCCATCTGCGTGTATCCCAGCGTGTGGCTGAGACCGCAGTCCTTTGAGAGGACAGCCTGCTCCTCTCTGTGCACACCTTGTGGTACCGTTTGCATGTCCATTGATCATTGGATTGTGATGATTTCATCAACAGATCATTTGAAAAGGGAATCAGGAGGGGAGGTGGTATCTAGTGAAAGGTTCATTTTGACATTTTTCTGCTTATGATCATACACCAACCAAACTTAGCACACAGCACTGCTTGGGTCGCAGACTTCTGAAGGCTTTGGCTCAGTCATTGATCAATGTGCCAATGTTCATCATAAATCCATGGGTGAGCTTTATCAAGCAGATTAGTAAAGTGTAATACATCTTGTTTCAGTGTTTCTGTGTCCATACTCTCACAATATTTTTGATAAGTGAAATGCTAACGGCAGGAGACTGGCTAAAGATAATCTGGCAGGCAGATACTTAATCTTTATCTAGGAAGATTATTTTTTAAGAAATTTGCTCAGTGGTAAAAATAGTGGCAAATGTTGCATAAAGCAGCTCACTTGTAACAAAGAACAAGAATAAATTTCAGTCTTGTTCCAGATTGTGGCAGTTGTATTTATTGATGAAAAAATAAATGCTTGTTTTAATTTGCTGAAGCATAAAGTAAAATATAATCTAGTAAATTCCGTAAATACTGTACAATTCCATAAATTCTAAAGGTCAGGGAGTGGGTCAAAATTATCCTGCCTTACTAATTTATTTTTTGTGCGACTTCCAGATTGTCAGACTTTTAACTGATTCAGAAAAAATACAAAGCAGCCAGTCCATAAACACAGGCCATTTTGTGTTTTTAGATTGAAACATGTGCTTTGGTAACATTATGTAGGATCAGATGTGACCTTGCTTACATTAGAGTTGGTTGGTTTTAGGCAAGATGCAGAAAGCAACATTTATTGATGTATTTATATGAGAAATACATTTATCAAGTTCCTTAAAATTACGTGATGCTTGTGTTTTAGAAGTCTTTTGGGACTAAAGCTGAAATTGCCTGTAAGATGTTTGTTAACTGTTACCTAAGCTGCTGGGTTTTGCACAGTGTGTGGGGGGATATCTGTCTTCTGAAGAATTTGCAGTTGGTCTAGACTGACTGGGGCTTGAGGAAATGGCAGACATGAAAATTTGTAAAATGTAGTTTAAATTCTGTTTTGAACAACTTTTAGAAGTTTTTCTAGGTGAATGATTCAGGGAACAAAGTATATACTTGCTCTGCTTGGTTTTAAATGAACCAGAGTGATGGTTGGAAGTGTGCAGCTTTGACAGCACATCAGAGGGAACACTAGCAACTGTGTGTGTGTTTAGGTAATGCTGTGAAGTGCTCCTTTTCACTCTGTGTTTATGTATATGTTCTTTTAAAACCCATATATTTAATCTCTTGTAAATCTGTACAGCAGTCAGTTCTGTCATATATCAAATATACAAGGATGCAGCACAACTCAGCTGGAATGATCTGTCATCGGCTAGCTCAAATTATAGCTTTTCATTCCTGGATAAGTCCCAGACACATTTTTATGTGCAATATAAGCAGTTAGTGATGTCTGAGAATTAGGAACAACAGAAAGGGTGTTTCATGCTGTGGCAGATGGGAGTGATTTATTAATTGGCCTCTAATTTGGTTGCCAGGTGTCAAACAGTGACTTCTACAGTATGTAAATTGAGGTGCTCATGGAGTATTTGTGCAGATTACTGGGAGCCATAAATAGGCAGCACAAGAACAAATGATAGTTTTAAAAAAAATACACTTCTGATCATTTTTTTTCATAGTCTGAAAATCTGTTCCCTCAACAAATTTAGTATTTTTCAAAATGTGAGCTGTGCCCATGGCTAATAAAAATGAGAAACTTGTCTACAAGTAGACAAAAGAATAGTTTTCTTTCACTGTGGAATACATGTGCTCTGCCCTAGGATGTACATTTTATCTTTAAGTTTGAACTTTGCGAGTGAGCCATCTTCATCTCTGGAGCAGCTCTTTTTTTTAAAGTTCATTAATTTAGAGCAGGATATTTTGTCAAGGGATCGCCCCCCACAATCAACTACAGTATTGTGAAAGACTCTACTTTCTGTATTCCCTGCGTTCTCTTCCCTGCTCTACTTCCCCCTTAAAAAAAAAAAAAGAAAAAGAAGAGAAAATGCAGGTGTTAAGAGGCAACAGCTGACTGGCCAATCAGGCTTAAAATTAACAGTGCTTTTAGTTCTACCCTAGATGAAGAAGGAGCAGCATATCTGCCTGTGGTCTGCTTAGAAATTTCTGAATTTTTCTGCTTCCTAGTGATGAGCACTCAAGGAGCTCTTCCCCTCCTCCTCGTCAGAGGTAGAGGTGAAATGCTAAAATGAAATGATGGTAAGGACAACTTCTGGACTCCGGGGCATTTGCAAAGGGCACTTCTCCTGTCCCCAGGCCTGCCTGTAATAGAATCAGACATCAAAAAACCAGCCTTAAAACTGCCTTGTATAGGGTCAAGCTTTCTGGTTTTTCTCAGCTTCATGGTGCTAATGATCTGTCTATATTTTTCTGCCTCTGTTTTTCCTTATTTAATAAGCTAAGCTTTTGTCTATTCTCTTACCCACTTAGGTTGTGGTAATTTTCCTACTATAAAGCAATTATGTAAAGTGCCACATCCCTTTACCAGAAGCCCTAGCAAAATAGAGTATATAATGAATGTATTTCACGACTGTTTCTTTTGCTTTTCTAGTCGATTCTGGCGTGGACGCGTTGGCAGCGTTTATGGCAAGTGGCAGCACAACGGATGTTGTGAACCGCAACAACCCCGCCACCCCACCAAACACCCTTAACCTGCGCTCTTCGCATAATGAACTTCTGAATGCAGAAATTAGGCACACAGAAACCAAGAACAGCACTCCTCCGAAATGCAGGAAAAAATATGCGCTGACTAACATTCAGACAGCCATGGGTCTTTCCGATCCAGCAGCGCAGCCCCTTCTGGGGAACAGCTCTGCCAATATAAAGCTGGTGAAGAATGGAGAAAACCAGCTCAGGAAAGCCGCCGAGCAGGGACAGCAGGATCCCAACAAAAACCTCACTACCACTGCGGGCATAAACGTAACTTCTGAGAAGTTTGAAGGCAAAGAGCCGATCCCGCAGGATTCCTCTGGCTGTGAAATATTACCCTCGCAGCCAAGGAGGACCAAGAGCTTCCTGAATTACTATGCAGATTTAGAGACGTCTGCTAGAGAGCTAGAGCAGAGTTTTGTTGCGATGGAAGATAAATCTGCGCAAAGCAATAGCCAGGCTTCTACTGTTATTGTCAATGGGGAAGTCCTGCCCCGGAAACAAAACAAAGTGTCAAGCCCAGAGGATGGCCAAGTTGCCACAGTGTCATCAAGCCCTGAGACTAAGAAAGACCACCCAAAAACTGGGGCCAAAACAGATTGTGCCCTCCATAGGATTCAAAACCTGGCCCCGAGCGATGAGGACTCCAGCTGGACTACGCTGTCCCAGGACAGTGCCTCGCCAAGCTCACCTGATGAAACAGGTATGCAAGTAAAGGCTGCTTGCAGCCACTGGTTTAGAAATACGTTGCCTAACTCATTGCAGCTGGCAGGAGAGAGGTGATTTAGCAGTGCTTTTGGTGGGGAAGTGAATTGCATCGAAACACAAGCACTGGGCTTGCACAGAGCTCCTTGTCCGCTTGGGAATGCTTGGCACCCTCAGCTCTATCCTGGCAGCTTTACTGCTGCTTTAGGAAAGGCGCCAGTGAATGCTATAGACGGGGTTCTACAACTATGCTAACTGCACCTTTTGCTAGTTTGTAAGTAGTTGCTCTTCACTAATCAGTGGGTACATGTTGTGAGAAGTACGTGATTATATGAAGATGCTAAACTACCAATAGCTGCCTACATGCAACAGACTTTTCTGAGCAATGATTTTTAGGTTCAGCAAAGATTTTTAGTTTTCTAATTGAAATTTTTCTGAGTGTCCCCCCTCTGCCCTGAGTCATTTGATATTCTTTTATTTTCAAAAAAAGTCCTCCCAAGCCTTGGGTCATTTAATTTCTGTGTTTTGTTTCCTTTGTGCAGCAGTTTCATACAGTAACTTAGAAGTTGAAATCATGGTATTGCATATTTTGGAAGCCTGGGCTCATTAATTATTTGAACACTAATGATGACTTCTGCACTGGCTCTGTTGTGATTTACAACAAATCTGTATTATTTTTAAAACTTTAGAGATCTCTAATTTACTCTAGTTATTGGACTTTGTTACTTTTTTGTATCCCAGCCAGTATATAAGGTACAAATTTGTCAAAATAAGGGGAGGCAATCCAGTTCTCCAGGGTGATGTAGGGCTAAAGAAGTTTATCATATCTTGTTTGTATTTTGAATGATTTCATTATTACAGCACAGAGATTATATACGGTTTGGAGGTCACCACAGTCCAAATCCACAGCTGCATTACATGTCTGTCATGCATGATAATGACAGTAGTGATTCTTCTTTTAATGTGTAGGGGTTTTAAAATCACAACCAGAAATCCCCATTATGTGACATATAATGGATCTTTGGATCTTCTTTTTGATGTGTAACAAACCTTTGCATTGAGAGACAATTTTAATGAAGTTACCTCTTCATGTGCAAAATGAAAAAGTTTTCTGTTTACTAAAATTGCTGTTTGGGTTAATATTATTTCTTGGGATACTTCATATAATATGGGTGACATCACTGAAAACATTTTCTGGAGAAACTATCAATAGAAGGTATTTAGATAACTTCATGCTGAGCTTGTTGACTCCTCCTGCCTTTGTACTTGCCCCAGGTTTGGCAATGAGAAACTGTGGATAGAAAACTTATGTTCACTGAAAACTAAATTAGAGTAATTTCAAGTAGTCTGATTAAGTAAGAGTGGCCTAAGATCCTAAGAGCTAGCTTAAGTGTTGTTTCTTTTTAAATAATGTTTTCAAAATTTTCTTCCCACATGTGTATTGCCACTGCAATGATGCATGGTGTATGAGCAGCACTGGGGAAGGGGGATTTTCTGAGCTATTGTGAGGTGTCAAGAAGTTTGCTTTTTTAAGTAATCAAGTGTTAGCTGAGCTGTGGTTTGTTTGCACTATGGAAATAGAGGGAAACTTTCCCCTGCTGTGTATGGGGGTTTCCTTGCTTAAAATTAGAATTAGAACACATAAATTAATAAAGTCCTCAGAGCTCACCACTCTTCTAAAGCAGAATAAAGAGCTTTTTATACATTCTCCTCTGCCTTCACCATACTAGCAGTCAATGTATTATAAACAGTTAGAGAAAAGCAGATGTCGAGATATCTGAGTTTAGTCTCTATTAGGAAAGAGTTAAAAATAAACAGAAGGCCCTGAAAAACTTAAGCTTAATTGTTTTCACTAGGGATGCATCACTGTTTAGACAGAATCCTCCTGAACTCTCCTTAGGGCAGGATACTTTTATTTGTGGTCTAATGCAAAGGTATTTTCAAGAGACTCAACTCTTTTTCTGAATGAGGCAGCAAAAATAAGGCAACCGAATTTAAAGATGCAAAACAACTGGCTGGATATTAAACAAATATTCATGTTGTTTACTTGTAATGTTGCTAAACAAATGTAATAGAGCCTGTTAATAAAGGGGGCACCGAACACCACAAGCATAGTACTGTATAAGAATTATGGTTTGGGGAAACTTCTTTCTCTTCCAAAGAAATGATCTATATCTGCTTCTTGACAAGAACTACATTGACTTCAGCTTTCAGAGACTTTTTTATAAGGACTTTTAGCTGTCCTCCACTGGCCTCGGGACTAACTGCACCCATCTGGCTGACTGCTGCCATTCAGAGCACGTGTTGTGAGTTACCAAAGACCAGCTCCAGATGTCTTTAAAACTGCAAATGGCACAGAGCTGGTTTTAAATCACAGCGAATGCTTCCTCCCCCCCTCTCTCCAGAAAATTTCCTTAGTCTAGTTTTCAAAGGAAACACATCTTGTGTTATTACACCCTCTACCTATTCTTTCTTTCCATCTCTATGTATTCACGAGTTTCACCTACATTTTATGAACCTGTGGGGTAAACAGCAGAAGTGGATACTCTAGAGCCCAAACCTAGGGCAGAGTGAGGGTGGTGCCAGTGCCATTTTCTGTTTGTGACTACTTTTTTAATGAAGCTCACCAGAACATCTGTAGAAGGCAGGCACATTTCTTCAACTTCCTATCACCTGAAAAACAGTTTCAGTGGAAAGTTATCTCTCCTTAGTAAGGTGCAAGTCGCTATGTAATAATCTCTAATGAATTAGGAATGAGAATTCTCTGGACAAAAAAAAAAGAATTCCATTTGCCTCAAAGCCAAGAAAAATGCTGGAATATGCTTTTGCTTCCTGTTTTATCTTAATTTGAAAAAAACCTATTCCTTCCAGAGCAGGCAATAGCCCCATAATTAGGAAGGTCCCTGAGATGTGGGACACTCGGCGCTAGACGCAGGTTTTCTTGCTCTGGCACAGTTGCCCTCCTTGCTGTCTTCAGAGCTTTGGGAGACTGCGCAGTGCCAGCAGCCACTTTCAGCTCCCCAGCTTCTCAGCTTTTGGCTCACACAATGGCTTATTTCTCCCTGGTTGAAAATGTCATTCAAAGGGGTATCAAAAGTACAAGTGTCCTCTTTTTCAGGGAATACCACTGCTGTATGTGACTGCCATGAACCACGTGCCTGTCTGCTGCTGGTCTCTGAGCAAATCCAGGAAGGCAGTTTAATAGCTGGTTACGTATAAACGAGTTCAACCCAGTGCAAAAATGACAGTGATGAGACTGGTCCTTGGGGAACAGAAGTGTCACTCTTGTAAATAGAGTCTGGTATTCTGAAATAACAGTATGTCTGGGTAGAATAGCCTTCTAATACAATAAAAATTACAGCAAGTCATGAATTACTCAGATTTATACCAATGGTCAGTTCTGCTTCTGATTTTAACCAGCATCTTTGACAAAATTAAAATGCATATCCTCTTAAAAGCCCCATTTTTCCTTTGCAGTATCTATCTGATATAGACAACAAGTATGTTATTTACTACAGAGCATGTTTTCCGTGCTCCTGAGTGTGGAAGAAGATTTATGGTAGTAGAAATACATTCAGTTATACTGTGGATAAACACAAGTCCTATAGTACTAGAGGAAGAATATATTATCACCTATACAATTGTAGGGTTCTAGGTAAATATCCAGTTTTCAAATTTTCAGGAATAAGAGGCTCTAGTTCACACCCACTATGCGTCTTAATGGCCTGTCAACTTTTCAATACTGAACTAGGTTTTTTTAATCCTGCATGTTACTGATAACAACGTATCAGGAACAGTGCAAGTTTTATACTCTCAAACTTGACTTGACCATTTGCTGACTGTCTATGAAATAGAAAAGGTGACTATTCCTGTATATCCCCAGCATATAGGTGACATACTGTATGTGGAATAACTAACTGCATTTTTATCTTCCTTTTAGCGACCCCATATAAGAGGATTTTAGGGAAGAGAAAGTAATTCAGTTTAAAAGAAATAAAACCTAAAAGGCCACACAGTTACACAATGTTCACAGTAATGATCAGCATTTAGGCTCTACTGGTAGAAGGCCATAAAATAAATTGAACTTGAAAGATGACTCTCTAGTACACGCTGCACAGGGAGGCCACTTGCTGCCTTTGGGCAGTCAGGTCGGTTTTACCCTGTGGTTCTCGGTGCAGCTACCTAAATCCGTATCTTGAATGCTCAGATAAGTACTCTGACTTGAAATACAAAGTTTCCATGGTAAAGAGCGGTGATCAGAACTATCCCACTTTTGAATTGGGATAGTTAGTAAAAGTAGGTATGTAAAAGTGAATTAATGTGCTTAAATTCAGGAATGGGAGGATAGATATTTTCTAGAGTAAGTGATTAGCATCCTCTCCCAAACCCTGTTTGCAGCTACCAGAATTTGGGGCTATAGAAGAAAGAGGCTTTCCAGGATGTGTTGTATGGTCACGGTTGCAGTTTCATACTTACTGTTTACCAAGAAGATAAAGAACAATTCTTTATTTCATCAGAGCCATTCCTTTCCCTCCCTAAGGAGGGCTTGATTTAATTACCTGCCTGGTGGTGTCCCAGACAGGAGGCAAGAACTAGGACTTGCGTTCCAGAGGAGGAACCGCAGGTTGAGCGGGACACACATCAAGTAACACTCACAAATAAATTAACCAGCTGGATAGAGCCGGCAACATGTACCCTGCAGTACAGAAAACAAATTTGTTCCTTTTTTTGGGTCTGGCTTTGTTTTAGAAATCACTCCTTGGTTAATCTCTGCTATATTGTGCCTAAAGGGTCTAGGATGGTTTGTCATACTCTTTCCAAACGCAGCTCTCCCAGCGTGACATCTCTCCCTAGGTGCTCCGAGGCTGGCGGAAATTGGGTTCAGTTGCTTTCCAGTGGCTGTGCTTTGACTACCAAAGCATTGCTGTGCCTAGCTCAGTGCTTTGGCTAAAATAGTATCCTAACTGACATAGCTTAATTAATTTTGATGTTATTCTA